AGCCCCTAGGTGTCCCTGCGCTCCCGCTCGTGGGTTCCAGCCCCCGACAGGCGGTCTGGGAATGACCCCCGGGGCCACACACCCGGCCGGGGCACATCCAGTGACGAGTCCTGCGGGACCCCCGGGCAGCCCGGGGGACCGGTGGGGCCCGCGACCTCTCTGGGGAAGAAAGTAGTTAAGAACCCCGAGGGCAGTTAGCACCCAGCGACGGGAAGATGCTTCTCCAGCGTCCCCCCCAAACCCGGAGCACCCAACCTGGCTCCAGTCAGAAAGCGCACACGGTTTATGCAGGCTGAAAGGAAGAAGTAGGCTCTTTCCTTCCCGGGGAATCGAACTCACGTCGGCCCGCAGCACCCCTACCGGCTGGGTCACCCCGCGGCCGCTTTCCGTCTGTGGACCTTCTCTGAGGAGGTCTCTCCAGCAGCCAGCCTCAGGAATGCTCAACTGTGTGTGATTCGCCACCCGTCCACCCCAGTGCCGATTTTTAATCCCAAGAACTTTTTAAAAGTTTCCTGTGATATCCTGATACAAGATTCATAAAGTCTTTTTTTTTAAAGTCAATATAATAGCCTAATTGAAACAAACATAAAGGTGAAGTAAATATTTTCTTAGTAACATGTCGCCTTTTGAATTTGTAAATGCTTTCCCACTAGTACCTTAGAGGCTGAAGTGAGGTGAGCATATTGCTCCCCTACTGCATCAGTCCAAGGCAATTGTATGTGTGCCAGCTCCAAATGCAAGGCCTCGGGATCTTACTCTTTAAACGGGCACTCACTGTGTATCCCAGGCTGGCCTCGAGTTCATCACCCTCCTGCCTCACCCTACTCACTGCCTGACTTATCAAATATTGGCATTCCTGTTTTATTTTTAATTTAATTTATTGTGATTTATTTTTTAAATTTTAGTGTTATTTTTTAATTTATTTTCCCCAAAAGGTGAACGCTTTGAGGTGAATTGTTGAAAATAGCTCCTCACTTTACAGGGTCACTTCACTTACTGACATTTCAGTCTGTACTAAAACAGAGTAAAAGTGGAATAAATGAGTGAAAGTTCTTAACAAAGATGACCATAAACCGTCATCATGTCATTGGTATCTTGTAAAAACCTTAAGGGCCAGGGTTGGTTATTTATTGCTGTGTTGGATGGTCTCACATGAAATCATTTAGTCCACTATCCACAAAGTACCCTTCCTCTTAGGCAAATTATTGTGGAACCTCCAAGGGTCTCACAAAACTTTCAGAATGTCCCTGATGACTGTTCTTGATTTTTGTTGACAATACTTGATCCATACTTGATCAAACCAATGGCCAAGACAAAGTTATTGATAACTGAAAATAATGGGAAACTGACAAGGAGTTAAGTAAGTGTTAAGAAAGGAAAAAAATGGCCTTGAAAACAGTGGTGTCACACTTTTAATCCCAGCAAGTGAAAGATAGATGCTGGGATCTCTGTGAGTTCAAGGCCAGCCAAGGCTATACAGAGAAACCCTGTCTTGGAAAAACAAAGCAGGAAAAAAAAAAAAAAACAGAAAAAAAGTAAACACTGATGTTTATTAGAAGTTAAGGAAAACCTTTTCATTTACTGAGTTTTATTCTGATATTTATAGACTATGTCTCTGTGTCTGTACTTATCAAATAGTTCTCTTTTTCTTCATGAAACTTATCCTAATGGACTAAGATGCAATGTTCGTTAACCTGTATGAGAGGCTAAATAGATCAGGTAAAATACTTATTAGTTACCTTCCATAAAATAATACTCTACAATTGTTTGATAGAAGTCATTGTCAAATGAGGCTCTAGCAAAATTACTTCTTATGGAAAAGGAGAAAAGAAACTTAAGTTGGGAATAGAATATTACCACTATTAAAAAGAGTTTAGATAAAACCCAGTTTGAAGTGATAGCCTTTGCTATCACTTTTCTATTATTTTTCCAGAAAGCATAATATATTAATAGGATAGTGAAACATAGCCACCTGAATTTCATTATAACCACCACTTAGAGGCTAAAAACCTATCAATGTACTAGCTAAAACCTTATGTATTAGTAAACGTTTTAGCATACTTGGTCACTTTTCTTGGCAATCACATGGATTATATTGTTTGCATCCATAGTTTAACCTTGATTCTGTCCTGGGTTACCATGATAAATGTTGTCAGTACTTGATATGTAGTAAGTATTAGGATCAGAAATGTTACTTTGGAAAAGGAAGCAGTAAGGAGGATGGTTTTCTCAAAGGAGAGTAAGAATTTCCAGTTGCTTATCAATGAGTCCTACAAATAAAAACAAAAATTTAGCTTATCTGAAATGTGCTTGTTATGTGATCTGTCCCCAAGCATGCTGATTCTCCTTTTATTTCCCATGTCTTGCATAAAGCCATCAAATCTACTTTGTCCTTTAATTTTGAGGTTGAATGACTTAGGTTGGCCTCTGATCTATTTCTGACTCTTTCATTATTATTGTGTTAGCCTTTATCATTTCTCCTCTGTAATAGAGGATTACCTGTTGTAATACACTTTAGCCACTGTTCTCTTTGCCTTGATGCCTCACACTTTCCAAACATCACATTGCCCCCAGTTATTTAGGATGACACAGATCAGTAATGAGGCCACTCCTGTTACCGAACCATGAAGCTATCCAGGTCTAAACTCTTGTCGGGGTGGAATACAGTATTGACTGTTCATGTACTAACCTTGGTGGCTTGGCCAGCCACATTGTCTGTCCTTTGGACTACATTTCTCCACATGTTGTAGTTAAATTAGGTTTTCATTTTCCACATAAAATTTTCCACTTCTATGACATTTTAAAGGCTTTCTCTTCTGACTGACATTTTTTGCTGAATAAACGCCTCCTTTCTTTCTGAAGACCCAGCTTAAGGGGCCTATAGCCTTCCCTGACCCCTGCTCCTCTTCTGCAGTAGGAGAAAGTTGCCTCCTATTTACTTGCTTAGAAGGTTATATAAGCTTTTATTATAGTTTATTATTATATCTCTGATGGGTGAACCCCCTGTCAGCTCGCCTAGATTTACATCTCCTAGGAAGCACACCTGTGGGTGTGTCTGTGAGGTTGTTTCTAGAGCGTGCTAACTGAGGAGGGAGAACCTACCCTGAATGTTGACAGCTTCAGCCCAGGCTAGTAGACAGTGTCCTGAACCCCAGCTTTAATCATTGTACTTCCCAACTGGAGATGCCTGTCCACCAAACTATGAGCCATGAACCCTTCCTCCATTTGATGTATTTCTTACATCAGCCCCCTTCTTCAGTCTTCTCCCGCTCCATTATTTTTTGGGAAGTCTCATATAGCCCAGGCATACCTTGAATTCTCTAGGTAGTAGAGGATGAATTTGAACTTCTGAACTTCTTGCGTCTGACTCCAGATTGCTGGGATTGCAGATGCATGTCACCATAGCATGTGTATGCTTAAGTTGCTTTTCTCAGGTCTTTAGGTGTAGCAACAAGAAAAGTAACTATTACATTATCAAAATGGTTTATTCCATATTTATGTAAACACCTAAAATGTATGTTTTCCGTAATGTAATTGGAAGATGGTATTCATGTAAATGTTTGCTAAAAAGTTACTGTCTTTTACTACATATTTGATTCTCATCATCTTGGTACATATTGTTGCATTTGGCTGTAAAGGAGGATAAGAAACATGAATATGTATCTGTCTTGCTGTTTCTCCAGAGCTTAGCACAAGGCCTGGCATGTTTATATATATGGTAAATTCCAATTAAATAATTATTTATGGTGTGCTCCATCCTTCCTTTTCTGTCCCAACTATGACTCCATGAGAAGAATTTTTTTTCTTTGTTTCATTCTGGCACATGTATTGTCTACCTTGAATTCATGTGATGCAGTCTCAAGACAGATGTTTTAGGATTTTTAACCACTTTCAGGCAATTTCTACTTTCTAGATGATAGTTATTTACTGCTTATACTGTTTGGGAGAATAAAATGCCCAAAAGGGAAGTTTTAAACCATTTTGATATGATTAAAAAAAAAAAAAATCAGCAGCAGCAGCTGGGGTGGGCTGGGCTGTTTTCCTAGTTTTTAAATTTTTTTTTTTTTAATTCATGGTAGTTGGACATTTGAGTAATTTTCCATCCCCAGGACTCACACAATGGAAGGAGGGATCCAACTTCTGTAAGTTGACCACTGACTTCCACATGTGTGCAGTATGCAGCCCACCCCCAGCAAATAGGACCCCCCAAACTTTAAGTTTGTTTATTCTTATTCACTATATGGGAAACATCATATGTGTAAATGATATAAACTCGGTTTGTGTATGAAGAATGTGAATAAGCCAGGATTACCAACTCCAAGGTCAGAGAGGAGCAAGCCTATTTCATAAGCAGGTACTACATGTTCTAGGCTCCGCAGCTTTGTCATAACTACTGTTATTATGGCGGGTATTTATAAAACGATCCAGTTCAGTTGCCCAGTTAAGGACAGATCTGTTGATGCTGCCCTCTTCTCATTCTCTGAATGCATATTTATGGGGTCTTACTTTATTATTCGTGTAAGATGACTAGTCTAAGTGCTATAGTAAGTCCAAAGTCAAATCAGATACTAATTTTGCACTTAGGAGACTTGCTCAGTTCCCAAGCCTGAGAATCCTCAGCAGTAGTGATCCTGTCTGATGCCCCTTGACCCTGCCCCTAGGGCCAAGCCATCATAGAGCACTGGCAGAGTCTTTGTTTTCTCAAGGACAGGTTAGTGAGGAGCCAAGCCAGGTTCAGACCCATTGTTTCTAGTTTAGAAAATCAAACCATCTATAGAAAAGTGAGTGAATGAGCCAAACTTTGAACAAGGGGGAGAAGCAGTTAACTGTCTTCATTTAGGCTTTCCTTCTCAGTTGGAGAAGTTTTGTATTCTTCTGCAGTTGTTAGGATTATTCTCATTTTTTAAGTCTTAGTAAAAAACTATTTCTAACAGTAAGGTTATTGTTTATATTTTCTCACTATGGTAAGTTTTTTTTGGCTA